ACTTCATATTACCGTGAATATTATGTTAGTTTAATGATGAAAATCATTTGGTTAATGCTGAAATCAATTAACTAATGTTTTTCTCTTTTTCTCGTACAATTTAAAATTATGATGTTTTTATGTTACTGACTGAAATAAGTAGTAATTTAGAAAAATAGATAAATGAATTAAAAAACAAATAAATTAAACAATAACTATTTCTTTTTTCGTTATCTAAATACTAATCAGTATGAATCCAAGACTATAATCAAAGATATGGATAATGTATTCTCATAATAGGATTATATGAGCTAGGGAAATATTTCAAAAGTAAGGCATACTAGATATACATTCTGTACAAGTGTGTAGTTATTTACTTGAGATTTGAAATTATAATCATGTCTTGTGAGAATTATCACAAAATAAAATTTACGTAAATTTTAACATCGTCGTATTAGGTAATAATGAACTATATAACCCAGTTCAGATTGATTGATTTCTACGGTAAACAGTTACTAATTAAATTTACAAATAAAACTGAAATTCGGAGACTTGATAAGTACGTTTGCTGAAAAAGATATGTGAGTTAACAAATGACTTCCATTTGAAGCATTACTGTATGATGTTATATAACGTAATTTGGATAAAAGTTTAATTTTTTTTGCCATTCCATGATAAGTTATTTGTCCCTTTGAAACAAAGACTGTGTATTACAAAGTACAATAATTTTTAAACAATGAATGAGTTATTAAGATCATTTTTAGTAATCTTTATATCCGCCTAAGTAAAACAACCTGTACATAGCTAACTGATTTCCGCACGACTTTCTATATTCAACGGTCGGTCAATGATGATTCTTTCTTATATTCTGAAATTTAGTAGATAGAATTGAGCTTCTGGCTTTAGTCTGAATTTGAAATTACTATCACAAATGAACTTTTAACCAAGAATTAGGTCAAGGTGAGTGACAATCAAAATAAATGTGCAAACAATGACAGCACAAACGGTAAAATTAGCCAGTCAAATTCATTTTCGACAGAACAAGCTGTCGAAAATCCCGAGGTTTTGCCCAAAGATACTTCTTATAATTATAATAAAAAGATATATGATTATGGCACTAAGTTCAGACCACGCAAATTTATAAAAAAGTAACACTCATTGTTGAATCACTTGATACAGTCCAAAAGTTCACATTTTACAGAAGTTGAATTATTATCCAGCCTAATATCCCTATAATATGCCACCCTAGTAGCTGTAAAATTGAAATGATACTTATTGAAAGGAGAAGAAAGGTGAATTGTGGATTATATTAAACATATTTATGTTACTGCAGTTTGGAATTAAATGGGAGAGTTGATGAATGTACAAAGTTGATCAAGTGGTTAAATGAGGGATTATATTACTGTTCATGTTTATACATGAGTTTAAAAGCATCCAGTCAAAGAACTTTCTACAACTGAAGAAAATGTACCAATAGTAGTAAATAATATCTATTAAGACCAATAAACTATTAACGGACCTAAATATGTGAATACGCATTGGCACTGAAGTCTCTGTCCTTACCTACTTGTGAACCTAGATCATAAGGATCTTTAGGAAAAGTATCCGAGATATTTAAATTTATGTGCTACATCTACCAATTACCGAGTTGCGTATTCATATAGCAGATTGGTAGCTCGACTTATTTTAATCCAACAAAATGTTGTATTCTACCAACCCAATCTGTTTCCGAGATAATTTAATTTACACATATTCAATTGTAAATAAACAACCAGATATTTCAACAATTCGACTTTTTTAGCGCTAAATTAAAACTTCTTTATTCATAATTCTTTGATGTTTCATTCAATTACGTCATTCTTTAAACTACAAGATATATTCAGGTGGACTGTGATCAGAATACCTTTTTGATTATTCCCTTGTTTGCCTATCTTAAATCATTCTGTTGCAAGATTTTGAAAATAAAACTAAATGTAATATGCATTCGCTTATTTTACCAATACTCAACTGTCTATCTAACATCCATATCACTCTCCGTCACAAAAAAACAAAACAAAAAACGCTTATAGAAATACAGACACGTATGAAAATTTCTGGGAAATAAACAATCTACAGTAAGTGATTCATCACTTAAAATCGAAATAAAGTTTTCTTTAAAAAACATTTTTGAAAAGGAAAGTTAAACATTCACTACGTTAGTGTTTTCTATGTTTAATCGATTAACAATATCTTAATACTGTCTCGAATCATCAAACCGCTAGTTTCTCTAAGAATTAACACGTGTAATATAACCAGGATATATTAAAGTGAAATTCACTGTCTTGAAAAAAACATTTCAGTCAAATAATTACATGTTGTTCGATAAAGTTTCAATTAATTTGGAAAAGGCTGAAAACGTGAGACAATGAAGTCGTTTAGTTTTGACTCTTGGAAAATTTCCATCACATTATTAACGCTGATTAAATTGAATGGTACATCTTATCCTGTCACTAATATTCAAGGTTACTTATTGGTCATTTTTTTGGTAAATATGTCGCATATGTTGCCTGACTTGATATAACCTTTCTGTTGCAAATTTCAATATTTTTGGATCCCTACTACTAGTAGTAGGATTAAGATACGTCCATTAGAAGAGTCACAAACAGGACAAAACGAGTGTTCTAAATTCAACTCTTACACTCAATCCAAATATATCAAAACCCGTGTTTGCTTTAGTTAACAGGAAAATGTTATTGTTTACTTTTGTTTCGCATTTTTAGTTGCATTCTCATAGTTAACAGATGATTCATCTAATCTGTACGAAAAAAATATTCTACTGTGCCCTTAGCACATGAAAATACTTGTCTAATTAAATAGATTTTGTATATTAATCTGTAATAAAACCATCTTACAAGAGAAATAATTACTTAAAGTTAATTACTGAGTTAAAAACATAATATCTAAATTAAGATGTTAAATTTAAATGCCTTCTATTAAACTATATTTCCTCCTTGAAAGCGTTTATTTTAAGTCAATATAAAAGAAAATAGCCTGTATCTTAAAGTTAACTGACAGATGAAAAGTTAATAAATAATTTTGAAAGCAATAAGGTATCCGAATCTACAATAAAAACAGTTGTCCACATTATTCTGTATTTCAGTGATTAACCGCTTAATATTAGTTTGCATAGAAAGTTATTTTTAACTTATATAAAACCTCGATAAAACTACCTAAATTAACAAAATTTAATAGATTACATTCAGTGGAATTAAAGTTTTTTTATACGTATCTAAGCTTAGTTCGGAGATATATTCTCTTAAATAAATCTTAAAAAATAAAACAATTTTTGTTCACAGGTTGTAGTGTTGATTGTTTTGTGTTAAACGTGAAGTATGTCTATCCTGTAATAAAAAGTTACATGACTTCAATTTTGTCTAAATGTATAAGTGATAAAACCGTGAATTTATTGTTTTTTAATGTACTTAAAAGTAATTATTAGGTTACTAAGTGTAGGGCAGAAATTAATCAACTTTATTAATACAATACTACTTCACACAACTTGATACATGAAAATGAATGAAGAAAGAATATACAGACAATCGTTTTCATTACTAAATGGTTGAAGAATGTAATAATCGTTTATAACATTTCCTCTTTAATACTATTGTCCTTATCGATAAATTTGAAGAATTCTTTAGATAATTAACATTAGATATTTAACTGAGAAAGCATGTATCAGTTTACAGACTCAACTTTAAGAAACTTAGTGTTACAGATTAATCATAGTAACTAAATGCCTAAAACTTATTAGATGAAACGAAGCATGAATATGCATTGCAAAAGTGAACCACTACTGAATGTATTAAATATAAATCTTTGTTTATTTAGCTAACTAATCCTAAAAAATGTTTTCATTAAAACAGCTGATATTCAATCAAATCCGTAACAGCCTCTAAGCATTTCTAGTTTTCCGGCTGAATTCTGTACGGCTTGTACCAATCTGGGCTATCTTTGGCGCTTTCGTTATGTTAGTCTGGCTGTAAAGGGTCGGATCTACCACGCGAGCAGTTGTGCTCTATGCTTGTGAAACCTGGCCTCTCCAAGTTGATGTTAGATGACTCTTTGTTTGATCATCGTTGTCTCTGAAGGAGTCCTGACATCCAGTGGCAACGCCATGTTGTAATTCAAAGGTTCGTCATCGCGTGTTCGGGCACAGCGACGACAAGTCAGTTGGTGTCACTATCTTGAGACACTGACCTCGGTGGCTTGGACATGTCCTACGAATGTCGTCTTAGCGAGTTCCACATCGTGCATTATTTGCCAACTCTGGGACGGGTTGGAAAAAGCGGACAGGCAATCGGCGTATGACATGGTGTCGTGTTATGAAAGGAAGCTGTACTCAAAATCAAAATGACTAATAAACCTTTGTTCAATTTTTTATCACATAATGGTCTTGGCCAGAAAAGTGTTGAAAACTAGGAATTACCAGACAGTTGTTTAGTCCTTGGACAAGACTCCTCAGCTCTGGGTATTCGCAACCTCACCAAGAATCCAACCCAGGATCTTCAAGTCTCGCAATAAGCGCTTAACCTCTAAACCACTGTCTAGGTAAGTAAAGGCTGACATTTCTAACTGGGATCGATTCGTAACACTGATCAACCATCTTTAAATGCCTTTGATGGAGAACTGTTTCAAATCCAACATTATTGAACTCCTTATTATCTGGTCAATTTTGATTAAACCAAGTTAAGCAAATATTGACTTATTTGTTATAATGACACTACTTCAGATTTAGTGATTTATCAGGACATATTACTGCCAACAACCGCACATAATTTCTATGTTCTGTCAGTCAGTATGAAGAACGTGTTTGTTGAAACGAATCCACAAGAATGATTTTAGGTGAATTAAAGAAATTATTACATAATAGTAATGAAATATTAGTTCACTATTAAATCTTATCTAAGGTTCTATATGGTTACGAATAACAGAAAATAGTAGTAGTAAAAGTAATTGATTAACCGAAATCATTTGAAAATTACCTGATGTGATCGTCAATTGACAAATATTATTTCCCAATCTTAAAAGTTCCACTGATGGCATAGTTAAAGTAGATTTGCACAATTTAGGTTCATTTACAGTTATATTATTACTGTTACCGTTCCTCTGTTTAATAATCGTGCTCGATGTGGATAGGAATAAGCTTGTTAGCGTATTCTCTGAATACTTCCATGTCATCTCCAAATACCGACCTATAATTTGATGTCGTGTACTAACTTCACGATGATCACTCCACTGTACACCTTTTTTAGAATTAACTCTATGTTTACTTTGTTCCTTTTCCTTATCACTAGTGATACTACTGCTTTCAGTTGCAGTATAAATAGTAGAATCATTCTTGTCTTTTTGTAATTATGATCGTCTGGTTTTGTTTGATTATCCGATTGTAATTTAGTAAAATCAGTACCAAGTGTATGATTACTGATTGATGAATAAGGTGAAACAGCTGATCCAGTGGCCACATATCGATCTAATGTGCTAGAACGATGCAACGCATCCTGATAACGTGAAATATAGTTAGGTAAAATGTTAGTTCTATGATGAATATCTGTTTTTCGAGGTGTTTTAGAAATTATCTCTTTTGTCTCTGTCATATTTGGATGATTTGTTGAAGTAGCACGCACTAACACACCATGTTTACCTTCAACACTTACAGCATGTGATATAGATGAAGACGGCAAGGAGGTAGGAGAGGAGATAGAACAGGGATCCAAATTATTAGTGTTACTAAAAGTTTTTAATCGTTGTTCGGCTTCGACTTGTCTTATTTGTGCTGTAGCGGCAGCTGATGTATACACAAGTTGTAATTTCTGTACTTGATATAATAGATCAGTTGATTGAGATAGTATATCTAAGAAATTTGATATAAATTCATATTCATTTCGAAGATAGTCTGAAGCTAACAAACCGTGATTATCTTGAATGAATTTCTGAAATTCTTGTTGTAATAAATTTTTGTTTGATAAATTATGATTATAATCGATAGTAGTATGATTGTTATCAGGTTCACTAAAGAACAGTTTTGGAAACTTATATATGTGTAAATAGATTAGATGAGCAAGACGCAAGGAACGTTGTTTAGCGAAGAGTGAAAATAAACATCCAACAGACATCGAAAATACAACATCAACAGGATCATTTAATAAGTTATATGAAATAAGTTGTGATAATGGTTTAAAAGTACTACTAATACTAGTAGTATCGGTAGTTGGTGATAAAATTTGAGCAGAATGAAATATATTTTCGTCGTTACATATTAATTTATACAAATGTGTGTTACGATATATTTGAAATGTATTATGTAAATGCCCTCGTAAAATATTTAACTCTTCAATACCACGTGTCATTTCCCATAGTTCATCATGTGTAAAACGTGATAATTCCATATAACCTAATAATGATACACCAGAATAGATTAAATATTGAGCAGAATTAATAATAGCTAATGTTAGTAATTTACTGTACATGGAATTAATTCTATATGCATCTAAAAAGATTTTTGTTAAAATTGTATCACAGTTATTTGAAGCATTAATTTGATTTAAACGATATTGCATATTTCGTTGTTCATTAGCTAAACGTTTCATCTGTGTCCAACATTGTCTTAAACTTTCGCACAAAATTCTAAGTTCACCTAATTGTGAGGAATAATCATAATGTGTTGTTGTATAACCGGTAATAGGTGTGTCATTACTGTTATCATCAATATCATCATCTCCACTTTCATCATTAAAATGTAATAATGTAGTTAATAAAAACTCATGATAATCATTTAATATATTACAAGAATTTTTCTCATAAAGAGCTTGAAAAGAATAAATATTATTGCTTGATATAGAAAATTTTGATAAAATACAGTCTAATAGATTGGTTTCTTTAATGAGAACAGTTTCTGAATGAGCCAGTAATGCAAGCAAACCTAAACTTAACTCTTTTACAGTATTGTTCAGTGTATCGAGATGTACAACGTTCAATAGTTTTAAATAGAAACGATGCAAATAAGTTAAGTGGTTTAAATCATCTGCTTTATTTCTGGAAGTATTGGAAGAAGTATGTACACATATAATGGGTCGTTAATTGTTGATGAGTTGATATGTTCATCCAATGCTGATGATGGTTGGTTTTTATTGTTGTCATATTTATCTGTATTAAGTATCTGTAATAGAAGTTAAAATACAAAACTGAATTAAGTGCAAAACCTATCATTGATACGATATGGAGTTATAAGCACAAAATGTACAAGTGCACTAAGTTCTCGTCAATCTACATTTTAATTGAGATATCTTAATAAATATACCACAAAGTGAAAACGCAGTGGTGAACAACTTCAATGAGTTTCTATGCTCAAAGGTTTTTTAGTTTGCTTCACACTTACAACTTGTAAGTCAAGCGAGATGTTATTGACTGTTTGTATTTAGCTCTACGTAAATAAATTCTCATGTATTCACAATTGACAGGGCCAAAAATCACCGACGACTATGTTTATACAAATATGTTAGGTGTGTTAGATTACAGGCAGTTTCATTAATCAGAACTTCACATATATTTAGGCCGTACAACATGTTTAATCATTTCTTACAAGCATAATTTGAAATGTTTGAAAAATAATGTACCTCTTGTTAAATTAAGAAATTTGAAGTTTTTTACCGAAGCTATATGCTAGTTATGCGTGAAGAAACAAAATAATCTCGAAACAAGATAAGGACGTTTCAGAAGTTGTGAAGTCCTGTTTATCAATAATTTTACTTGTGGCAGTCTATAATAAAATGAAGTGTCGCACCCTTAAGTAAAAATCACCGAAGACGCTTGTAAACGATTTATTAAAACTACCCGGATTCCATAGTTAAAAATCTTCACAAACTCGAGATTAAAATATTGATTCCTAAATACCGAAATTGTTATAATTGGAAATTTTCCTCCTCATTTGAAATATTTCGGCTTGTCAGTTTTTAAACTTTGTTAGCGATTTTAAAATCAATTTTTGTTCCGAAATTTCCATTTTCTATAGTTAAAACATTTAGACACAGAATGTGTTTCCATAACCAAATGTTTTTCTGTGTGAATAGATTAAACTGAGTCACAGTAATTTTCGCAAAAACTAAGATGTAAGTGACCGTTACGTATTATTGCAACTTAACAGGATTTTGAAGTGTTTACTATTGAATCTCGACCTAGTAATCTGAAGGTGTCTTTGTTCTTCCGAACCTCCACGTTCATTATGACTGACTGGTCGGTTTTCGGTCGTTTTGGAATTCAAATGTCCTTGGATTGATCACTCTCAAGGTCGTACGTACAAACTGTCAAAAAGCTTCACAGTAGAAAAAAGTGGTTTATTTGTGTTCCATGATTTTTCGTGATTCCCATCTGATACCATTCACTATCTGAACTGAACACCTTGAGTTAATGATTTTCAGTAGTTGTGCATGAACTGACGTAAGCATTAAAAATGTATGATAAACTGAGGGCTTATAGTGTAAAATATCTCAGTTTTTGAGTTTTTGACTTAAGCGAACGTAATTTCTGATAAAAAGTCAACGTTGATCAGATGTACGGGAAACTTTCATCCACTGTAACTGAGACACGCATTATTTCTTACGTAATTAATAATAAAATGTATTGAGTAAGCATAAAGACGAATAAATGGCCTTACCGAATCACTCTGTTTGATTCCACAAGGATGTTCTTGTAAAACGATCTTATTAAAATTTGGTAGTATTTTAATCGAATGGCATAATGATAATGCGAGTGTGACTAACTCATCCACTGAAGTCGTACATGATCTTAAGCTTTGTTCAATGTAATCAACTTGTTGCATGTCGAATGAACTCTCCAAAGATGTAGCCGGCGGATCTTCATCTTCTTGGATTGTACAAGCCCTGCCGATAGAAGCTAATGACGTATGCATTTACAAACTGAAAATGAATTACAACCTGGGAAATAAATATACAATTAGAAAATATGTATGTGACTTGAATATTTGATAGAATTACTTGTGAATTTAATTAGTTTTCATCTGAATAATTTTGTTACGCATATAAAATATATATAAAAGATATCAATTTAATTCCACTTGATGTATCTCATCTACCAGTATTGCACTGTATAATTAACTTTATGCCAATGTCTAAGTATGAAAATTCCTAATACTGCCCAACTCCACAAACTAAACTAGGTGAGTGTGGGAGTTGAACATGAAATTTGTTAATTGTAAGTCAACCGCTTTAGCTATCATAGGACTGGTCTTTCCATATTTTCTACTACATTACAATATTTAGATGAGAATTTCACATCAATTCAACAAACAACATTTTTGCCTAAAAATACTATTTGCTTATATATTGATAGATAATAGTATCGTATTGCTACCAAAATTTAACATACCATATTTTCACTTTTTTTAAAATTCATCTAAAGGTAATGAACAAGCAGTGCATGTTTTAAAGTCGTTTAAATATTTATAGACCCTTTAGTAAGATAAGTGAAACAGTTATGTTGAAAATTCCTGATGTATATTGAGATATGAATTCCGATAACGTTAGATATTTGTTTAAAGTAATCTTTGAGACTTAAAATAATGAATGACCAATAACCTTATAATTGTATAAGGCGCGCATTAGATTTCATATGGCTGGCCGAAAAAAATAGTATTTTAACCACAACACAGTTTGGTATAATTGGTCAGCACTACACTAATTCATATTGCCATATTATTGACGATATAGCAGTAATCATCCAAATAACTCAGTTTACGTTCTCTAGAATCACATAACCAGCACTCACTTAAAATCAAAGCTTATACTTTACTTATAAGTTCAAAAGCCTTTTCCAATTGTTTTGGTTCATTGAGAACAAATAATCCAAAATGTCAGTTAGGCCAAAAGTACTGATGTACATTTGACTATTCATAGAACTCACATTTAGTTTGTAAAGCAAATGTGTGAACTGAGGTGGTGAAAATTTTATTTTACAAGATGTCGGACGCACTAATATTATTTCTTTCAAAATGCTTTATAGATTGAAATGCATTCTTCCTACATCCACCGTTTGACACATCCTCGACGGTACTCAAATTGACGGCTTTACAGTTTCCCCATATTTGACAAATTTTCTGAAATCATGCTAACAAGGATATTTTCCAAGTTAAGCTTCGTAGAAATTGTCCGGGTGGTGAATCAACGATCAGAGATTACAAATTTATGTCCACGTTCGATTTTAATATCAATAGAGGAGGTCAGTAGTCGTTTAAACCTTGATCTAACTTACAGTTTCTGCGACTCTCTCTGAAACCTCTGATCCACTTGGAAAGTATTTTTCATCACACATTATACCCACAGAATTTCACAAGTTCTTTGAGAGTTCACAGTTTTCATCAGTAACATTATTAATTCACCATATTTACCAAACCGCTTACGTAACAGGCAAAATACGGTCTGATAAATTTATTGCCTAATCCCATTTATTGACATAGATCTTCCGTGTGCAGATACATAGATCACCGTTTGTTCTAATGATAATAAAGATAAATAATTTAGGGATGTGACAAATTGACTGACGGAGCTGGTGATGATTATTTGTGCATAATTACCCGCAGCAGTTACTCAGAAGTCAAGTAAGAATTCAGAACATTTTGATAAACGCTTTTTAAATGGACTGAGAGTTACAAAAATCTAACAAAGCTATACACAAGTGAGTACAGTTACATGTGGTTTTCCTATGAACAGTCGTTTCAGAAAAGCTCCTTTTTCAGTCGTATATTTTTAGTCAGGTATATTTGTGGCCCTCATTCATAAACTGAAGCATTTTTGTTTGCTTGATAAGCTTATTTTTACACAATCACAAATGATGTGTTAAAACAAGGTTTCAATTAAAAGCCTCGAGGAAAAAAACAACAAATGACTAAAAATAATTCATACTATAGAAAAATGTATGTTTGATGCAAAAATAAAGTTCACTGAATGGAAAGAGAAAATCATTGTTATTTGTCTTTCATCACGACTTTGTGTTATGATTATAAACTTGACTGGAAAAAACATCCATGTAAAGCATAGATAAAGCATATTTAACGTTGATGTTATTTATGAATTGGTGGTTTTGCTGTTCAATTAGCCTAGATTCGAACTCGAAAGCTGAGTTCTAACAGAGATGATATAACTGTCAACCAATGGATACTCGATAGTTTGTGTATGACATTGAAAAAATATATTGTTACTTTAGTACTGAGGTCAGAAACCTTGTGTTGATTTATTCTTTGTGTATACTTTAACGTTATAAATTCAAAGAGTATTTTTAAACTTAAAAAATTAGGAGTTCAAACAAAGGAATAATTGTTTGTGACTTTTTAAAATGCATATTTTATCTCAAAAATGATTACCACCAGTTGGCATCCTCTAACGATAAAATGATCTTGTTCGGCTAAAAGATGTAGCAAAGCGAGTTTGCGTTTGAAAACTTAATTTTTACACTTTTTACACTTTTAGAACTTTTGTTTTATGTTTCATAGATAACAAAGAACGATATGAGTTAATACTTCCTTCAAACCATATCTCGACGTTACACATATATTCTTAGAAGTAAGAATGTTTTAAAAAATGCAAAACATATACGAAATCGCACCTTAGAAATGAGTTTCAGATATATCTTCTACCTTCCACCCAATCATTTACAAATTCCTCATCATAACTAAAACTGCTGATTGCTTCACCCATATATATATATATATATATATATATATATATATATACAAAAGCTAAAGCTGTTATGTGTTTACTTAATGATATTGTATTAGACATGATAGCATTTTTAGCTCCCAGTATGCAGTTCAAACGCCAACTAATACAAATAGGATTACGTCAAAATCTAAAAAATGAATATTTATCCCTGATATGTCACAGAATTCAGTGTCAGTCTAAAGTATCCATGTCGATTTACGAATAAGGAACAGAAATGACCTCTAATAATTGCTATCAACCAAAGAAAGCGCATTTAAATATCTTTGGAATTCACGGTTTGAATGTGTTGCGCAAATACACAATTTAATGTGTTATCGTTTACCAGATAGATGTATTTTTGTCAAAGTGAAAGGATATGGGTCCTATTTATTTCGCGTAATTGGCTCGAGTAACTTGAATAAAAATGCTGTGAGTTCTAATAAGCCTCATTTCATTTGACATCCAGGTTTTATACTTAGATCCACTTAAGTGGCTTCGTCCTAACATTACTTGAAATCCATTTCTGAACGTTCCTTAATAAAATTAACTCAACATAAATGGATCTGTTTATTTGCGCTGAGTTTGATTTTGATGGGTTACTAAATAATATCTTGATGACTTCAGTTATCCACATGATAAAGTATATTCAGTGTTAACAACCCCTATGAAAAGTTACAGCTGGTTTTAACATCATCAGTTTATGCACAACACATTTATTTCCTGAGTAAATCACCTAATATTCTAACCACGGTTTTATGCTTATCTGCATATATTTCAGTGAGTACTATACACTTGCAACAGACCCAATGCAATGTATGATGATAAGGTAGCATATATATGCACATTTTCAACTAAAACGTTAAGTCACGTATGCAAATAGACACGATGTTGTAACAGGTGAACATAGTGCAATAAATAAACAGCATTCTTCGTTTTACGTTTTGCAGTCCATAAAATCTAACAGCAATGTGTTTCAAATCTGGATTTACAAAGACGAAAATAAAATTTTATCATCTGACATACAGAACAGTGATAAAGTATTTTGATTAAGTCATAAAGACTCTAAAACAAATATTTATTTTGTTCTCAAGAGATATTTTCCAAAGAAATAAAGTCTTATGCAATTAGCACAGAATAAAATATGTTTGCGATAGGGAAAAACTAATGAGTCACCTTTATCCCAATAAGGTTTTCGATGATTGTTTGCAAACAACTTGTGTAATTAACAACATTCAGTAAGTCCTTTGAATTGACGGTAGTAGATATACTCGGTAAATGAAGTAAACAAAGAAGTCATCATTGAATGAGTTCGTCATATCAAATCAAAAACTCTTAAATACTGAATTCTTGCCTTTTTCAACTTAATAAAACTAAATAAATATAATTTTTTTGTGCATTTATATCAACCAAACAGGTGCTCCAAATTACTCAGTTTCACTGGGTACTCTGTAATTCAACCACAGCGTTTGCGTAGAATTGTAAATTCATGAGAAATTGTGCGCTTATATTATAAGCTTAAATACGTTCACATATGCCTCTGGTCTTGAGTGATTTCGAGTCTGTACTTGACTGATGACGTTTATATTATGAAATCGTGTGGTGATCAAGAAATAACGATATAACTGTAGATGGTTCCGAAAAGTAAATGTTTCCATTAGCATTAGACAACAATTTTGTCCGTGTTATTTTTAATGAACATACTTCTAGATGAATGTATTCAGAAAATCATTCTCACCACTACAATTACCACCCTGTCATGGAACTCAAATGCTATTGTGACTAAAAAGCCTAAAAAGTGACATTATGATACACTTGCATACTAGCTAAACCTATCTTCTCTACTGAACAACTATCAACTTCTTCTTTGGGTGTCTTGAGAATATTTTAATCGAAGAGGCTCGTATGCCGGGAAACTTAAAAGACAAAACTATTTTTCCGAAAATCAATCTCATTAAAGCATATAACCGAATACCTATGAATGCAGACGAGATTTTTAGAACCGCTATCATGACTACCTTCAGACTCCACAAATTTTCATGCATAAATTACGGTTCAAGAAATGCTGCACAAACGTTTAAGAGATTCATATGTGACACTCAGAAGTCTCAACCTCATACACACATATATTTATGACTCATTGAGGGTGCTTGAGAATCACATGCATCCCAGCCTTGTTTCCGAATGGTCCAGTAACGTG